GTTAAAAACAGAGGTCACATTTGTGTCACAACGACAAGTAGTTCACTTCCCTCCTACCTTCCTCTTATCTTCTCCTCTGTCTCTCATTAGTTACCAGAGTGTGGCTTCTATGGAATGTACGAGAAGATCCTGCTCTTTCGTCATGACCAAGGCTCAGAGAACATGCTGCAGCTGCTGCGCTCGGCTTCTCAGATCCAGGAAGGAGACCTGGTGGAGGCGGTTCTGTCAGGTGAGGGGGACATGTTCAGACGTCATTCTTTGTACAAAATTACATTTTTTTATTATCAATTTCAGAGTAAAGTCCAAACTAATATTTTGAGGTTTTGTGCTAAAGCAGAAGGTGTCGCTAAGTTCAGTTTTTGGTTTTTAAATTCTCCACAATCTCACCACTTGAGGCAGTGTTTACATGAGCTAAAATTGCTGATTTTCTCATTGGACATTGGACTGGTGTGGGAGATGGTGTGTGAGGGGAAAAAAGGGTTTAAAGCCTCCCCGCTGACTCCCAAACACACATGCACATTTCTGAAGCATATAATAACAGTTCCAAACCTATGTTGGCCTCTAAACAAAGAATATAAACAATAATTTGAATAAATGTCGATAATTTCCTGCAGCAGAATGAATCTAATCAGAGACGTATTCTGCTGAGGACCACAGGAGTGTGTGTGTGTGTGTGTGTGTGTGTGCAGTAAAGAGATTCAGAAATAACATACATGCACACCAACAGGGAGCGAGAGAGGCCAAAAATAAAAAGAAATGGAATAAAAATCCATAAAAAGATGTTTCCTAAATTACCCATCATGCTTTGCCAGGCCTGGTGGCCAACCAAACAAACACTTATTTCCATCTGCACTCAGTAAGAGGCTCTCATCGTCCAAAACATTTACAAAATAAACCCTAACAAGCCATTCATGACTGTATCTGTCAGACTAAAATTCATTTAGTCTGGCCAGAACCTCAGCTCCTGACCACCTTCATCTGACTGAAGATGGCTTCCTTCTGCAGGGGTTGTCTGCATATGCTGCTGCCACAGATCTCCACACCGGATGCAACCTTTCAAATTCATTAGGTCACCAAAAAAACAGACAGACAGTGGCGTCCCCTGGTGGTTTTGGTGTTTTGAACGTTGAGTCATTAGGGATTCTCCAGCTCTCATTTTCTTTTGCTTGGTCTCGTCAGCTTCAGCTACAGTGGAGGACTTTCAGATCCGTCCTCACTGTTTGTTTGTCCACTCGTACCGAGCGCCAGCCTTCTGTGACCACTGTGGCGAGATGTTGTGGGGTCTGGTACGACAGGGACTCAAATGTGAAGGTGAGTTTGATATCAGCAGTAGTCACGTGATTACTTCCTGTCATTTTTAAGCTTTGGCGGGTAAAAGATGGCAAACTTAAATTTGGCTTTGGCGGGTAAAAGATGGCAAACTTCAAACCTCAAATCGAGTGGTTAAAAAATGGATGAATTCACATACTGGTGATTTGCATGCCATCTACTGTTGCCTCTGAGCCTTAGCATGTGGCTCAAGTACATTTACTTTCAATGCCTCTGTGTCTGTGCTAAAGGTGGTTACCGACACAATCAATTGGTTTTGATTTAGGGAAGGTGACGACCCTCCACCAATGACGCCTGTTGATGGAGAGCTAAACATCTTCCTCCTGTGGTCTCTGTCTTTCCAGGCTGTGGTCTGAACTATCACAAGCGCTGTGCCTTTAAGATCCCAAATAATTGCAGCGGTGTGAGGCGCCGTCGACCGTCCAACGTGTCCCTGACAGGTGGACTAGTCAATTTTCGCCGCCCACTTTCTGGTGAACCCTCTCCACCTCATTACACTGACGATGCTTTACTGGTCAGTGAACAGTGAACCTCGTTACATTTTAAAGTAAATGTAAAGTCAACGTCACCTGATCACTGATTCCTCAGAGTCTGAGTACAAGCCAGAGTTCATTTAAACGTCACTTTCTTTACCTTCACGACTGAATACGTCAACACCAGTAATGATCCAATTCTTCTTTTTCTTTATCCAGTCTCCAGTCAGTCCCAACATGGAGGTAAGTCCTATCACGTCAACTTTAATCATCAAAATGATCTAAATAAATGATATTGTATATCACATAAAGGGTAGTGATCTCCCTCTTAACATTCTGCCGTCTGCTTTCTGATTTAATAATCCAGATTTAAAGGTCTTCACTAAGCTAGTGCCTAAAACCTGGGGGTTCTCAACAAACTCTCGGAGCATTTGATTTTTTTTGTTTGGCGCAAAATGCACAAACAACGAGGATCGTTTCACATTTCACGCCTGTTTTTATTGCTCCCAACAGAAGAACCAGATGGAGTACTTCCCCGGCAGAGAGCGCCGTTCCAGTTCCCAGTCCTACGTGGGTCGCCCTATAGAACTTGACAAAATCCTTCTGTCAAAGGTCAAAGTTCCTCACACCTTTCTAATCCACTCATACACCAGACCCACCGTCTGCCAGCACTGCAAGAAGCTGCTGAAAGGCCTCTTCAGGCAGGGCCTGCAGTGTAAAGGTGAACTTCTTTACTGATGATGGCATCATTTACATTAGGGCTTTGCAACTCTTCTAACCTGATGGGGAGAGGAGCAGGGAGCCCTACTATAAATATTCTGTAAAATAGTGAAAAGTTTGTTTTGACCTTGTTAAATGCAAAAAAAAAAAAAAACAGAAAAAACTTAAATAACTGTCTAATCGTATGACTTGCCCCGCCCCCTGTGGCACCTCTGGAAACACCACTAGAGTTCCTGAGCAGCTGTTGAAGTCTAACTTAAATGATATAATCTAGTATTTCATTTGTAAAATCATCTTTAAAGGTTCTGAATTTTTGGTATAATTCCAAAGGAGTTTGAAAAAAAAACATCACTCTTTTATGACATCACACCCTGGAATTGTAACTGACAGCTTGTGTATTCTGTTTTGTGGCAGATTGTAAATTTAACTGTCACAAACGATGTGCAGTCAAAGTGCCAAACAACTGCCTGGGAGAAGTTTCCAAAAATGGAGGTGTGTTTTTGAGCTGTTTTCACAGCATGGTCTTACTAACCGTAACACAAACACCAGGTCGGCTCGTGACATCGATGACATCTGTATCCTCTTCTTCTAGACCTCCTCAGTCCAGGGGCAGATTCTGATGTCATGATGGCCGACGGTTGCCTGGACGACCATGATGTGGACAGAGGAGGTCTGTTGGACGACATGGACGAAGCACTAACACCTGACGGAGGTCTGCTGCTGGAGACAAGTCCAAATGACCTCTGTGACCTCCATGATCCCGACCTGGACGAGTCCAACCGTGCCATCAGGTACCAGTCTTAAGTCTTCACACTGTCACACACACGTTAGAAAAGAAACGGGTTGTCAGGACATGCTCTGTATCGCCCCCTGCAGTCCATCAACCAGTAACAACATCCCTCTGATGAGAGTGGTCCAGTCTGTCAAACACACTAAGAGGAAGAGCAGCAACGTGATGAAGGAGGGATGGATGGTGCACTACACCAGCAAGGACACACTGGTACCTGTCTGTCTGGAACTGCTTGGAACTGTCTAGAACTGTTGGTCCTTTTTGCTGCTTTGTCTGTGTCCTATGTCTTTCTCCCATGTCCCAAGAATCTGTCTGTGCATCGACATAACCCCTCTCTATTGATATTTCTTAGTCCTTTCCCTCTGTCTGTCTCTCTGTCTCACCCTCTGTCTGTCTCTCTCTATCCCTCTCTTTCAGAGAAAGAGACACTACTGGCGTCTGGACAGTAAATGCATCACATTATTTCAGAGCGACACAGGAAATAAATATTACAAGGTAAGAGGAAATGACATCACTTGCTGTCTTTCCCTCTTTCTTATCTTTTGTTACCAACCTCTTGTCCTCTCCTCTCCTCTCCTCTCGTCCACCCCTCCCTCCTGCAGGAGATCCCCCTCTCAGAGATCTTGTCCCTTGAACCTGCTCAGAATGTCTCTCTTCTCCCTGATGGAGCCAATCCTCACTGTTTTGAAATCGCCACTGCGTCCCTGGTGTACTACGTGGGTGAGAACCTGCAGAGGGCGGAGTCGTCTGTGAGCAGCAGTTGTATTCTGGTGAGGTTTGCAGGAGACAGTAGAAGGTGACGCCATCTGCGGAGTGAGTCATTTTGTAAAATCAAGTTTAACATAGCGTTGGGCAATGACCAGGGGTGCACATAATTTTCTTTTTTTTCTTATTGAGCTACTCGGGTGAGTACCAGGAGATGATATTTGGTACTCACCCCATACATACTGTAGGTCTTAAGTAAAGTCCTCCTCGTTGTCTTCATCGCTGTCCTCTACTTCAACTTCCTGCATGGTAGATGATGTAGATGCTGCAAATTCACATCCGTGTCTTTGGGTTGAGTCTTCTATTGGCTGACTCCATCCACAGGTCAACTGTTGGCTCTGTGGTCTTCTTAGACAGGGTGACAGGGTGACCTGTGCATCAGGGCTGAGACAGATGAGATCTGAACTTTTGTCATACTCTATGAAAAGACTGTCAAGAAATCTCTTATTCTCTTCATCCCGAGCCTCTGAAGGTCTCACAACAGGGATTGTCCCAACCTGTTGCTGTAGTTTTGGCACCATGCTGTTGTACACACTCCCAGTCATCCAGACCTGCGTGGTGAAGACGCTTCTCTGTCCCTCTGTGGTGTCCTGCGTGGTTCAGTCAGCAGCCAGTTCAACCAGGCGGAAAAGTCCTGTCTACAGTCTCTGTTGCTGGACACAGTCCCTCTGACCAATCTCCAGCCAACTCAAACCTGGTACTCAACTGTTAGCAATGGTCTCCATCATCAGTGAAGGTGGAGTGTAGGTAGACAGGGAACATGTTCAGCTGTGTGTGGAGCTGTCCATCACACAGCTGCTTCTGTATTAACAATAGCTTGCTATTGCTCTTGCTCTTTTCAGCAGTTCTTGCACCACCATATGAGTGGATACATCTTGAAGGCATCTTTCAGAAAAACTCTTTTCTTCTCGGGCTGTTACTCATTTCTTTATCGGTGACGAAACGCCAAAGTAACTGTTGGATTTCTCTTCTGGATTCTACAATTTCTCCATCAGTCAGTTTACTCCATCACAATCACAAAAATAGTATAACTGCATCTGCAGTGGTGACCGTAGTGATGTTACGCATTAGTGATTTTAGCAGTGCGTGTGTCCTTGTGTACCAGTTATGTGCATCCCTGGGAATAACAGTGTTTGTGTTTCTGGTATTTTTCAGGTACTGTTCTTGGTTAGTTTTAGGCAGTTTGACTGTTTTTTTTTTTTGCTTTGGTTGTTGCCTTACTCTAAGTTATTCTTCCAAAGCCACCCTACTATAGCAGCTACTATGAATATAAGACCAGCTATATAACCAGCTAAGGCCAACCCATCATCTTCATGTAACTTCTTTTTAGAGATTTAACGATATATTTAATCTATATTTATTTGTTGATAAAAAAAAAATCTGTTCTGTTTCATGTTGGTTGCACAGCACCGACTTAAATGAGTTGAATGGTTTTCTTTTAAGTCAAAGTTAATATCCTTCTCTTCGTCCATCTTTTCATTGTACCTGTCTTGAAAGCACTTCATTGACTTTAGCAGAAACCGTCCATTCTGCCACTTAACACTACAGCCAATCACAGATAAGGACAAACAACTGGGCTGCGGATGAAGTTCTCATCTGTGATGTTTTGATTCGTCAATGTCATCCATCATCAATCGTCATCCTGAATGTTAGCTTCAGTTCATCTTCAGCATTTTTACCCAAGATTATCCATTCAGTCAGTGCAGTTATTGTGAGTTTGGTGTATTTTAATTGGCTGATTCCAGGTCAGTGGCATTGGCCAGGATGTGGCTCGGATGTGGGAGATGGCCATACAACATGCTCTGATGCCAGCTGTTTCCACAGGAATTTCCCACAGTTCCCACAACAGCGGACACAGTGAGTGAGACTCCAGCTCAGCTGATTCAGTGTCAGCCTTAAGCCCACTGTGCTCTTAGTGCCCCCTGCTGATTACAAGCATCCTCTCAGTAAAATATATGTCAGCAAATAAAATGTCAGTTACAGTTTTTTTTGCTTTAATAAAGAAAAGCAGCTATTTAATTTCTTACAGACAGGGAAGGGTTAACTGCTGCCTCATGTGGTCAGTTGGAGGTAAATCTAAATGAAACATTTCAAACAGCTGATTCAACTTACTTATGGAGGCAGCAGTGAATCACCTGCTTACTGTAATGTAATATTGCTGATTGTTGTAAATTAACTTTGGCGTGGGGCAAGAAATAATTCACAAAATTAGGCTAAGGCAGAACTATCTAATATATATATGTGTGTGTGTAAATATATATATATATATATATTTCAGGCTTGCTACTGGATCCAGATCAAAATTTTGGCTTGTATCGCTACATCTCTATCTGCTCATGGATCTTTGAACCTGTTAATGAAATGACAGATCCAGATCAAAATTTTGGCTTGTATCTCTACATCTCTATCTGCTCATGGAAAAAGGCTAATCTTACTATCTGCTTCAGAAATATTTTTAAATATGATTTGCTAGTTTATGAACAAATGTGACCCATGGTCTGGGCCGTACATTGCTGTGTGGGATGTGTGATGTTGTTAATTTAAATGTAAATCATTAGTTTTGTCTGTCATGCACAGAGGAAATTTCCATCAGTATCTCCGTGTCCAACTGTCAGATCCAAGAGAACGTGGTGAGCAAACACAAACACATCCTTATATACTCTCCTTTAACAACATTAAACTATCTAACTGTTTTTGTTTTTTGGGGTAATTGGTCATAGATACATATATATTTTTTGAATTAGAATCACAATATGTTATAGAAGCAAACATCTAATATTTAACAGCAACATTTGACAGTGTAAACTGAAATTTTACAACATGAGCAATAGAACAGTTTCAAATATGAATATGTATTACAATGCAATATATAATATAATATAATAGCACTAATAGTTATAATGGCAGTTTAATATAATGATATTATATAAAAAAATATAAAACTACAAAGATGCATGATAATATTATTAATGATGATTTATAGCTATAAAAAATACAATATATTACTTATTATTCTACAAAGTGTTTGGTATATGTTAATAAATGTTTTCTAGACTTAATATTTACTTTGTTTTTCTTGAAAGGCTTTTGCAGGAGCAAGGGTGACACCAATAATTTTATTTATAAAATAATCTTTTTTTGATTCTAAGAAAAACAAATTAAGTTAGTTATTTAGTTATTTTTGCCACCCTCAGACTGTAGATATGATAACATGGTTTAAAACAAGGGGAGTGAACATTTTATACTCAGGTTTGATTTTAGGTATTCAGGCATTTTGTGCTGATGGTTAGAGCCACAATAATGACCATTTCAAAGGCAAACGTCCTGAAGCCACACTAATTTCTGGCTGGGGTTAGCGTGAACGTAAACTTCAGCAGATATACAGAACACTGAGTCCCACTCCTGCACCTCGTCGTCTCTAAGGTGAGCATGTCGTCAAGCTCCTCAGATGGAGATTATTGTGATTACTCACTCAGCCAAATGGTTTCCATGGAGATGGATGGTAATGAGGCAGCGAGCTGGCAGAGTGGGGGGGTGGAGAGGGAGGGGGTCGGCATTTGATAATATTGTATTTCTGTCCTCTTCGCTATGAGGTGTGATATTAGGCTGTCAGCAGACGGCAAGGAAGAGGGAGAAGGCAATTGCAGACAAGTGAAGGAGAAAATATTTTGCACTTTTGGTGTCAAAGCTGTGGTAGATCAGTGACGCAGCAGCACCAGCCTCCGTGCCGGCGCTCAGCACACTCGCCAACAAAAAGAAAAAAGCACCTGATTGATGACTGCTTCAGCAGATGATGAATTGATTAGGTTTACGTCATTGTTGAACCCACTTTCTTTCAAACTGCCTAGAGCTGCTCCACCAACGAACGTTCATGACATTTTCAAAGTTACTTAATTATGGCCTGAGCAGTAAGGTTTCTACTCCTGGTAAAATATCAACATTCCAGTTGCCTGAACAGGAAACAATAATATACTATACATGTTACACCTACATTTCAGTAAGAAGTTCCAAAACTCCAGTACAAGCATAACACATGATGACTTATATCCTGTGGAGTCAACAGGATTGAACATTATCTGCTAATTAAATTAAGATGCTGATAATAGTTCATAAAAAAATAATGAATTCAGTGAGACTAATTGAGCTTTGAACTGCTGGGAGACAACAAAGATTTGTTGCGCTGAGTGTGATGTCTCCTGACAACTCACATTTACATCCACATTTATACCTCACATCACTGCCTACGGTTAAGACCAGATATTTAGGTTGCCTTTAATTAAAATGTTAGCAAGATATTTAACAGTGTCTGCCTCCTGAGAGCAGTGTGTGAAAAAAGTTATTTGAAAATTTTAAAAACTTACATTAACTCCTTAAAACCAGATTATGGATCCCTAAGAAGGTGCTGCAGCTGCAATTCACCCTGTGGAAGATTTAATGGCACACAAAAATAAACATAAGGGTTAGTCAAAAGGTTCTAAAAAGAATTAGAAAACTAAGCTTACTTATGGAAAAAAGGTGAATCTACTTCTCTTTATTTCCATTTTAGTCTAGGCTCTTCTGCAAAGGTGCTTCCATCAGAGAATTCTTGTCAAAGCACTGAAATTCAGTTCATTTCTAAAGTTCTTTCTGTTTGAGAAGAAGAAAGAAAAACTCATGGAGATAGATAATTTGTTAAATTGTTTGTTTGTTTGTTTGTTTTTTAGGACATTAACTCTGTGTATCAGATTTTCCCTGATGATGTCCTTGGTTCTGGACAGTTTGGAATTGTTTATGGAGGTGAGACACCACCGTTTGTGCACAGAGTTTGAATGAAGTGCTAACAACACAGGTCATCACTGTGCTCTCTCATGGCCCCAATCCTAAATATACTGCCAGAGTTACGCAGAGTTAAACATCAAGGTTTAGCTTTAAATAAATATCTTATTCAATCAAGAATTATCACAGCTAACCACTGTGCGTCCACCAGTCATTTTCCACAGAAGTAGCAAACAACACAGAGTACAAAGTTAGTCATAGATTCAACCACAAATAAAATCACAGGCCGGCAATGCTTGGTCAAATCACAGTATATAGCATAGTACAAAGTTAGCTACACGGCTACATAGAAAGCTAAATAGCAAGTACTCACCCAAATGTTTGGAGCCTCTTGATTAGTGCTAACAACACGGCCAACCCAAAGGCTAACAATAATGCTATTGCTGCTTCCGTTTGCATTGTGTGTTGGTAACTGGTTAAACAGGACCTTATGTTTGTTGGTAGAGTGGAGGGTGAGGATGTGGGTGATTCTCTTGTTGTCACTTCTACATGTTACTGTGCTAACTTGTAAAGGGAAAACTCTTTTACAAATAATTTAACAGTGCAAAGCACAGTATTAACAACACGGCTAACTATATAGCTAACAGCTGAATTAACTGTAAAAATTGTCAGTTATAGCAACACACTAAGGAAGCTGTTTTTTCATTCAGGTGTTACAGGAATGTTGAATTTTGTGTGTCGAGTATGTGTGATTGTGACAAATTCAACTTTTGTTTTTCTAACTGATTTTATGGGATAATGACACACAAACATTTTTCCTAAGGCAAACACAGGAAGTCTGGCCGGGATGTTGCCATCAAGATCATTGACAAACTTCGCTTCCCCACTAAACAGGAGAGTCAGCTGCGCAACGAGGTGGCTATCCTGCAGGTACACAAAATACACATACCTGCACACACATACGTAGTCACAGTTGTGCAGCTCAACAACCTGGCGGCTTGAGTGAGACTTCCTGTCGAGAACGACGCCATTATCTTGGCAACGCTGTGGGGGTGTGACATCCATGAAGTATCTCAGCGTTGCTCAAACTACAGAAGCTGCTGCTGAGAGAACACACACAAAAAAAACATACACCTACACCTTCGATCGACTTCAGCAACAGTAGTCTGCCAGAAGTCTACCAACAGGAAGCTGTATTTGTAAGCTGCTCTTTCCTCTCTTCTGAAGTCCTTAGAGGAAATCATCTTTTTTTAGCTGACAGGCAGACAGTGTGCTGTGTTAATGCATTGTCTTGCAACAATGTTTAAGCCATTTATTTAAAAATAAAACTACAAAATTATGTTTTTAATACACCCTTTGGGAATGGAGTTTATCAATCAAACTGACATTCTACCATATACATAATAAATTAATTAATAAATTCATCCTTTTATTACCTTAGAGTCTACACCATCCAGGCGTGGTAAACCTGGACTGCATGTTCGAGACCCCGGAGCGAGTGTTTGTGGTCATGGAGAAACTCCACGGAGACATGTTGGAAATGATTCTGTCCAGTGAGAAGGGACGGCTGCCAGAGAGGATCACAAAGTTCCTTGTCACACAGGTGCACACAACACAAAGCCAGGAACTGTTTTCCCACCGCACCACCTTTCTCTAATCTTTGTTTCTTTAACGCCCTGTTGTGTTTTGGTGTCTTGATTTCAGATTCTGGTGGCTCTGCGTCATCTTCACTTCAAGAACATTGTCCACTGTGACCTGAAACCGGAAAATGTCTTGCTAGCGTCTGCAGACTCATTTCCACAGGTAAACTGGTTCCTAGTTTTAGCAGACTCCATAGCACAGAGCTAACCAACATTCTAGCTGCAAAGCTAACTACATTGAAAATGTGCTGGAAGTTAATCACTAAGCTAACCAAAACATCTGACAACAGCTTATCTGAGAAAGGCCCCAACTCCCGAGCTAACAACCAAAGTTAATCACAATGCTAATGTTCAGAGCTAATTACAGAACCAGAAATCGTACCTAAACCCCAGTTGTTGCTAACATCAAGCCTAGCTACAGAGCTAACCACAGTAGGTTTCAACACATTTAACAACAACCTCCCTGTTCCCGTCAGGTAAAACTTTGTGACTTTGGTTTTGCACGGATCATTGGTGAGAAGTCATTCAGACGATCAGTAGTTGGCACACCAGCGTATTTGGCCCCAGAAGTTCTCAGGAACAAAGGCTACAACCGATCTCTGGACATGTGGTCTGTAGGTGTCATCATCTACGTCAGGTAGGTTCTATTACATACATCTTAACAAATAAATACAATAAAAATGTTAACTTTTTTCATTAAAAGTTCCTGAAGTCATGTATCATGTGCTTCAGTCTCAGTGGGACTTTCCCTTTCAACGAAGACGAAGACATTAACGATCAAATCCAGAACGCTGCCTTCATGTACCCTCCTCACCCCTGGAAGAAAATCTCTCAGGAAGGTTGGTAAAGTCCTTAGCCCAATTAAAGTGACTCAAAGCAAGGAAAGTGCAATCCCAAAAACTGGCGCTCTTTCAGTTGATCCAATACCAAATAAGTACATGCCCAGTATTGCCAATATCACAAATACTGATGCCAATACCAATCATTATTACTCGTTAAAGGAGCAGTTTAGTTAATTATCACAAGGGGGCACTGGATGCATAGACATAAAAACAAACAAGCATTTACGTAAACTCACCTCAACACCAAGGATAATTTCAGAGTGAAAGATTAGGCAAATACCCAATCTGAAGGCCTGGATAAAAATAAAGCTAAAAGGTAACATACCAAAGTTAGTTTAAACAAGTCGTTAAACTTAAAATAGGACAAGATAGCTCAGGTTATTCTATCACAACATACCAAAGTTAGTTTAAACAAGTCTTTAAACTTAAAATAGGACAAGATATTATTGATATATGTTATTCTATCAATAGGTAAAAACATGAACTTTAATAAAGATAAATAGGAATAAATTAGGCTAGCCTATAAAAGCAGAGGATAAACCTGAGACACAGACTAACATCTCAAAATAACCCCTGGCAGACAGAAGTATCTGTCTGAGACAACGAGGAGGCAGTGGAGTGCTTGAGTCAGATGGTTCAAATCCGTCCGTGGTCGGCAGGAGAATTCCTGTGAGCAGGATGAGGCGTACGTTTTCAGAGAGGATGACGACAGCATGAGTCACTGTGGGCAGCAAAATGAAAAGAGTGAGTGGATGGAGTCAGAATACAGAACATGAGGGAAGATGTTGACACTTTATTTTCATTGCGATGACTCAGTCCAGTTATTCATGTATTTTTATCTGTGTATTTTTACACTCATTTATTTAAATTTGGACTTTGTACATTAAAGTAGTTCGTTTTTTTACATGTTTTCAGTCAATTACTGGCTAACTTTTACCGTCTTTGGCTAGGGTATTTGGATTTTCCAGTAGTAATTATCTATTGTAAGATAAATATTTTTCCTTACATTAGGTAACTTTTATGGGAACAAAATACAACAACTTTTCACAAACATTTTAAACCACGAACACTCAAGCACTTTCAATGATTTCCAGACCAAATATTTGGAATGGGAGCCTGCAACGGTAGATTTTCTGTGAGCAGCAGTTTTCCTCCTTTGAGAAGGCAGGGGAAAAAACTGGGGCTTCTCAGATAAAGGTGGGTCATGTGATCGGCGTCTGAGAGATGAACACTGGAGATCGTTTCAGACTCAGACAGACATGTTCTAGAGGACACAGTAGAGGTAGAGTGGCTCTATTCATCTGCTGGTCCATTCATGTGCATAATGCCAACTGATGGAGGGCCCCCATAGACCTGAGGGGCCCTCGGGGTCCCTTAGCTGTTCAAACCACTGACCCCTGAAGAAATGTTAACATCATGTTAGCTTTGCTCATTAGCCTCGACTGGCCTATCACCACAGGGGTCCAGCGGGAGTTAAGGGGGCAGGGTCAACCTGACATCCCGTTTTTCTTCATTACTCCACAACAAAGTTTCTTCCTCTCTCACCTCCTCTTCCTGCTTCCTTTATCTGTATTCCCTTTATTCTTCCTTTGTCATTCATCCCCAACAGCCATCGACCTGATCAACAACCTGCTGCAGGTGAAGATGAGGAAGAGGTACAGCGTGGACAAGACCCTCAGTCACCCATGGTTACAGGTAGAGATTTGGATTTAAAATTTGGAACATAAAAACAGACCATAAAGGTCTGGTCTTGAGACGTTTACCGTAGTTTAAGTCCATGGGGGAAACCAGTGATTTCAGTTACAACAGTCTTCAATCTACTGCTTAGTGGTGGGATACTATTACAAAACGTAGCGAGGTAATTAAAGATATTGTAATTACTTTATTGCATTTTTGTAATTTTATGAAATATTAGTATCTTTTTGGGCTCTGAACACTGTCTTCTTTTGTGACACCGTTTGTCTGTACCAGGATTGTGGAAGTGAGATAGCTCTGGTGCTCACAGCTAAAGGTTTTTTAATGTGGCTACTGAATCTGTTAACATACAGCACATTTGCTGGCCTTGATTTAAACAACTGTTTTTTAGAGAATGTTTCATGGCAGTTAGGTTTGAAATTTCTCTTCTTTTACCCCAAAAGCTGCATAAGTTAACCATCGTTTGACCTTTTTAGGATTATCAAATGTGGCTGGACCTCAGGAACCTCGAGACCCGCATGGGCGAGCGTTATATCACCCACGAGAGTGACGACCTGCGTTGGCACCACCATGCTCAGCTGACCGGCCTTGACTACCCTCTTAATCCTCATGGTGGCGAAATAGGACACGGAGTTGAGCGCTACCAGGAGCAGGAGGAGCTGGAGACCCTGAGTGAGAGGGTCAGTGACCTGTGAGAAGATAAAACAAAGACAAACACAAAAATCACAATATGCTCAAACCAGTGTTGTACTTAAAAAGACAGCAGATGATGAATTCTTTTAGCCATAGACAATCAAAATACACACCCAGGTTGTGCCTCCAATCAACACCCCTCTGTCCATTTGACCTTCTGCTTTGACAATAATGGCATAAACCAGCCCAATGTTGAAAACTGAAAAGAGTCAGATTATTATCGATGCTGTGAACTATAGAAAAGAAAACACACTGCAGCTAATTTCATGTGACATTTTCAATAACTCAAGAGTTCAAATGAAAAGTACAATGAAAATTGTATTTATTTTTAGCCTTGTGCTGTCACATTGTCACATTATTATATTTTCATTTTTTATTATAGCATAAGTAGTAATTGCTTTAATTTGAGCTGCAACATAAATAACAACATCATCTGCATGTAATGATATCAGTTCCAATTAAGCTGCCTTGGGTTAAATGTGCTGCATTGGGTTAAATGAAACACAGAGAGTGTTTTAAAGTCATACTGCAGTGTTTGTGTTCATCCAATGGTTGGAAATGTTTCTTGGACTTTAGTAGAAGCTGCACAGAAATGTTTGTCTTTATAAACTGTGCGTGCATGAGTAAACGTGATTCTCAACGATCAAACTAAAGTTTTAAAGCTAAACCAAGTTGGTATGAAAAGAAACAGGTTACAGGTGCTTTTGGAATTAATTTTAAAAATGGATTTGAATGGAACTGTAAATGTGCATGTGTGTGTGTGTGTGTGTGTGTGTCTGTGATCAATATTCCTGGCCTCTAAATGTTAGACTTAGCTTTTTGGCTGGTACATTTAGACAATGGTTCCTACAAACACGGAGATGAAAATGATGATAAAAGACAAAAAGCACACCTTACAATGTCAAGTGTTGTGGGCTTCACACTCAGAATAAGTGAACAGTTGAAAAACACCAAAGTCCATTATCTTGAACAATAAATGTTCTGTGTTTGTAGTTTATTCATTATGGGTTGGAAAATATTTGTCACTGTATTCTGCTTTTATTTATGTTTACACAACAGCCTTCAATTTCAGTTTTTTTTTTTTTCAGGTGAACTCTAACATTTCATTTTTCTGTTGCACATTAACATTAACTGACAAAACATAATTTGACACTGTGTAAATTAACAACAGCCAAAAGGCTAATTTGTGGAAATGAAAACACTTCAAATTATGGAATCAAAGAGTGGAGTTTTACGATAAGCTCCGACCTCAGACCTTTTCAATCAATTCCTACAGACAAAGTCAATGTGTCGGAGATGACCCACAGCTGATGTGTTACGGAGCAGAAATGACTTTTTGACTCACTCTCATATCTCGTTGGTCCTTTGGAACCTGCCAAGAGCAGGGTCTCCAGGAGGTTTATCAGCAGGAGCTATGGGGAGATCATCAGGGCTTCACCTGTTTGTAGGAGGACAATAAATAAGAAAGGTCATCAGGAGACTCATATGCAGGTTTATCAGTCTTATATTTATATTTATAAATTTATATTTACTTGTGACAAAGCTCTCGACTGAGTTTCTCTTACTGTCTAAGCTCAAATAAGATCAGTTAGGGTTCTTTGTTCTCAGGTCTAGAGTCCAAAATATTTTTATATATGGTTGTCATCCCTGTTCCATATCCCATTCGTATCTATATATATATATATATATATATATATATATGGGGGGAGGGAGAGATTTATCGCATTATATGCAAAATATAAAAAAGTAGTTTATTAGCACACATATTTCCGTATACTACATGGACATATAAAAACGTTCTAAACATAAAGTAAGCTGGGTTTGTTTTGGTTTTTTTTTACAGCAGTTTAAATACTTTTACAAATCTCACCTTCAAATTCCAAATCAAATATAGCATTGAAGCTAAATGTACCACTGTCATTAGCATTAGCATAGTTTGTTACAGAAAAACGCCAGTTACCCTGAGAGTCCAGCGCCACCGTCACAAATCAAAACAAAATATAAAAAGGCTGTGAGTTGTAGGTGTAGAGTCTGGACAGTTGTGGTGAAATAGAAGAAGCTGTGGTCACAACATCAGCAGCAACGGTTCCAGTAACTGCGTTAGCATATTCACCAGCGCTGTGTGTATGAAACACAAGTGCAACAGCAGACACACGTCACAGGCCGCCGTGGTTGAAGAGATCGTGTAGACAGAAGCCGACCAATCATTAGCATCTACTGCTAACGAACGTTCAAACATTTTAGATTAATGTGCGATAAAATATGTGTCGCTCTTTATTTATACGTTAACACGCTAATACTGCGTTAAAATACCCAACCCATATATAGCATCCATCCATTTTCGTCCGCTTACCCGTTACCGGGTCGCGGGGGCAGCAGTCTCTATGACCACCACTCAAATCACACTGCACCGCACCAACCCCCCTGAACCTTCCTGGTGGTGAGTCCACTGCACTGGTACCAACCACTGTGACCGGGATTCGATCTTGCCCAGGAGGTGAACCCACCACCTGGGTTTCCATACCAATGACAGAGACGTTGCACTCGGCCAAAGCGCCACACACACACTAATGTGTGTATATATAAATAAATAAATAAATAAATATATATATATATATATATATATATAGTAGGGCTGTTAAAATTAACATGTTAATCACATTAATTAATTTGTGAGGAATAGTCTTGTTAAAAGGCTGAACGCGTGGGCCGTATGACGCACTCAACTGTATATCACCCTAATTCCACCGTCCATTCCGTTAGCGTAGCTCTAATACAAGGGCCATTTACATGTAATTATTCACACGCTGTAGGAGCTAAAAATACCATCTCATCCAGCAGAGGCTTCAACGTCTACTCAGACTAACCTCACTGAGCGCAGGACGGTAAAAAGTCTACGAAAAGACAAGTTGAAACAAGCGTGAAACACACATCCACCTGCTGTCATGTGTCTTTCCTCGGTAAATGCGTTTGGAATCATTAGGTATAATAATTACTTTGAATATCCATGAGTAAGCCACAATTATACTATGACTCTTTCTGCTTAAGTTAATTTAGATTGATTATTAAATCAGTTTTAGTTTTGAAAAATGACCAGATTCTCTGACAGAAAACCAGACTTCAGCATAAAATATGTGTGTGTGTGTGTACGTGTGTATTATTACGCATATGTAGTTTTTTTAAACAGCTAAAAATCTTATTCAAAATTTAACATTCGAACATCAACACACAGGACTTGTTCATCTACATCATTAATCTATTAGTAAGTCCAAATGCAATATTTATTGACTGATATTTTTCTACTCAGATGTATCCTGATACTTGAAGTGACCACAGGAGGCACTAGTGGGACATCTATTTAATAAAACGGTTGTTGTTGTTTTTTTCTTTCTAAATGTTAGTAAGAGGGGCAGTGGTGGCTTAGTGGTTAAGGAAGTGGACTTGGGTCCGGAAGGTTCGAGTCCACCAAGTTATCACTAAGGTGCTCTGAGGAGCACCGACCCCACACACTGTGCCCCGGGCGCTTAAGGCTGCCCACTGGTGGTGATGGGTCAAAAGCAGAGGTCACATTTGGTTGTGTGCAGTGGTGTGCTGTGTCACAAGAACAAGTGAAACAGTAAAGTCTCAGGGCAGTCTGAGAAGCAGGGTGCGTTCATGGTGCAGTCAGTGCTAACAGCAGTGTAAGTTCTCACTGAAGTACTAAAAATAAAAAGCCTGTCCCTGAAGGTGACCGTACAGTAGGACGTTGTTGAGAGTTGTTTTCCGTATCATTGCCATCGCTGTATTGTACGAGTTTTGTTTAACTTCAGGCTAAAATTAAAACTGTCAAAAGATTTAACAAAGTGTCTCATGAAACAAAAGAAATACTTGTTTTCTGGATTTACTTTAAATAAAGAAGTATCGTAAATTATGTCCGACTTGTTTTCTGGATTTACTTTAAATAAGTCCAGTGATGCTAAATGGTGTAAACTGCTGCTTTCTTCACACAGAGAGTGGATAATGAAGCATTTTGTTTTTCTACTCTGTAATTAAACCATGCTATTTTAACACCTTCTTATACGATATAGAATGATTTTTGGCAAAGGTTAAAAACATCTTCAAAGTATTGGAGAAGAAAAAAAACCCCAACAAATTTAACACCAGCCCTAAATTGACCACAAACAGAAGAAATTAGTTGTTTGTAAAGGCCTGAAGGTTCTCCAAAAATATACAATACAATAAAAACACATAAGTCTGGATTTCTCCAACTTCTAAATGTTTGTAAACATGAAACAGACAAGCTAATGTCAAGTAAAACTGAATCCAACTCTCCTTTATTGGTAGAATAAACTTATTTGCATTTGATAAAAATAAAACAACAACAAAAACAAAAAACAAAAAACGAATTACTCAATGACCCAAAGATGGTTTCCGGTGACTCAGCTGTATGCCACAACCCATTGTGTGGGACACACTACCGGAAAACATTCTCAAATGCATCTTTATTAACTCACTGAATTTTTACTACACATCAAATGAGAAATAAAATCCGTTTAATGCTATTTTCCAGAGTTCAAATGTTATTAAACACTTTAATTAACCTGTTTTTATGTGCGTTTGTTTGTTGTTTTATTTTTGTCCACCATGTTTACATCACTGTCACTGACGTGATAAAGTCACTCTGTGTTGGTGTCACATTAACACAAAGAAGACAAACAACAAACAAGTATCTGCTGCAGATACCTCGGCGACCACTAGATGGAGCCCTGAGAGAGGCAACGGCCTTCAGTGTGTGTTTGTGTGCGTTTTCCAACATTTTGTGTGTATGAGAGTTGTGTACAAACGTGTGTTTCCGTTTTGCCATTTAGTTTGTGTTGTGTGCTCCGTGTTGTTTTACAGTGTGTGTATAAGTGTGTGTGCGGATGAACAACACCTACCGCGGTGCTTGTTGGGACACCGGGGGCCACATGAACACGAACACACACATTTAAGGAACAGCAGACAACAAAAACAAACAAGACTCCCTTTATGCCAATTAAAACTCTCTCTCTCTCTTTCTCTCTCTGTCTCGCACGCACACACACACATATACACACAAACACGAACACGCGCAGGGAGAGGCGGGGCCAAGACAACAAAAATGAATTATTTTAGTAGAGAGGAAGACATATGAAAGAATATGGAATGGCGGGAAAACAGCCGCAGTGACAAGAGGTAACCGGAAGTGCTGCCAAATTCTCAACCTGCATCAAATGCTGCATATGCGCATTTGCCTCTTTCACGCGACAATGGGTCTGAGAAGGAGAGCAGGGACAGGTTTATAAACACATCGTTATTAATTTACTCTATATCCTTTTTCTTCCACAAAAAATTATATCCTTTTCCTCTCACTTAATTTTAAACATTTTTGTTGCATTAATTGATATTTAATTTTACAACTGCGGTTAAAATATATGAACATTATCGTCCTTTGACAAGTTGATAACATTTTCTCTGAACAGTTGGTTCAAACGGTGTCAAAAAGAAATGTATAATAAATTCAAAAACATTTCATGCTTCGATACAAATGTTTGCAGAAACGTCTGATTGTCGTTGTTAATAAATGTTTTTTTACAAATACACGACATATTTAGGACTTTAAATAACGAATAACAACAACTGTAATTATATCTTAGTTAATATTAATAAACTTTTGTATGAAAACATTAATGTGAAATGTATTTGTTATCCTGTACTGTTAAATGTATGTTACAACAATGTCTATATTTAACTTATTTGTTTTGTCAGAGGTGAATTTATTTAAAATCTATTTATATTAGTATTGTTTAAACACAAACATAGAAAATTATATTATTATTCATTAATAATACCAGGCTGTTAAGTGCAATATCATTTTATATAAGTACTGTTTTAGCAACATTTCACAAAATGATATAATAATTATAATAACAATTATTATTAGTATTATTAAATGTTTGTCTGGAAGGTTATCTATACATACGTATGGATGTTTATATGTTTGTTATGATAACGTTGACCTTTTCCCGTGTCATGTTGAATCCTTAAAAAACACTATATTTTATTATTCAAGACTAAATATATCATAACTAATTAAATACCGTGTTTCAGTGTGTACGACTTGTCCTTTTCTATTTCAGCTTTAGTTGTAAAACATTTAAAAAGTAAAGAAACGAAATCAAGAGATATTGAAAACATTTTTAAAAAATAAATCCACGAATAGAGCTATGTCATATAAATGTTCAAATATATCATTTCGGCAGGGAAATATATAGTTCAAAGCGAAATATTAAATATTCAATGAAAAACTAACTACCGTAACGTCAGTATTTTTAATGAATAAATAAAAACGTTCTATTTTATTTACTCTTTACCAGGTTTGTTGTAATTATTTCTCAAGTATTTTCAGCTCCTCTGCGGTCTCTGTTCCTTCACGTGTGCAGGAAACAGTGAGTTGGAAAAAATCCATCTGTTTCTCTGTGTCTGTGTTTTTTCTTTTTCTTTGTGTTGAGATTCTCGTTAGAGCGTCGCCTGCTGAGGAGAGAGGAGAAAAGAAAAACCTTCACATCACAATCGTCCACATTCATGTTGACACACACACACGCACGCACACACACACACACACAGGAGAGAAAACACAAAAACGAATAAAAATGAAGGAACGGACTGCAGAAGAACTAAAGGCCATTTTTAGTGAGCGAGATTTAAAAGAACGTTTAAAAAGAAAAGTAGGTGAAAACATATATAAATATAGACATACATATAAACATATATAAGGTTAAGTTATATAAAGATGAGAAAGACAACAAACAGACAGGCTTTGACCAGTATTTGTCAAATATCAAAATGAAGCTCGCTGTAAAAACAAAATAAAACATTTCTGTCTGTGTATAGACCGAACTGTCCATGTATAATATAGAGAGTTGTGATTAATTTTGAATTCTATGAATTTTTCAAAGAAAATCATTTTTTAAAATGGATTATTTTAACTGTTTGAACCTGCAGATATAATGCAATCACGTTGCATTCAAACTAACAATGATATTTAAATAAAACCATTTAACAAAATAGAAAAAAAAACATTACAATTGGCAAACGCTTTTATCCAAATCCACGTACATTATGCTTTTTAAGTGAATTAAATTACCATAACTTCTTAAAAATAGTGTGTATTATATTTTCTACGATATATGGTGTGTGGTATTTTTAGGGTCCGGTGTAACAAGTGTAGATTATGAAGTGTGATTTTTTTTTTTTAAAGATAATCGGTGTTTTCTAACTGTAAAAAAAATTAACAAAATGCAGCTCAGTCAAAGTCAGACAGACAAAAATAACTTTAATTTCACTTGTTTAGAGTTTTGTTTTTAAAAGGAAACCTTAATCTCATTCAACATTATCCTTATTTTTGCTTTAATAATCTATATGGCTGTGATGATGAACAATTAAATGTTACATTTCAGGAAAAATATAACTCTATGTGGTGTTTATTATTATTATTTATTCATTTTTACTTTAACAGTAAATCTGTCTGTGCT